TATATATATATCAGATGACTTCTTAGAGCCACTCCTAATCACTCTCAGGAATCATCTGAATTCCGATCAGGAATTCAGCACCTAAGAAAAAAAGTTATTCCAACACAATGGTGATTTATTACAAGAATATCAGCGTACACTCCTCTGACCTGTCAGTCATCCATTGCATCACTAGACAGACACTCAGCCTACCAATGAGGAAAAACAAACCACAATATGCATAACATAATACTATATTAATAAGACATATAGACTATAATAAGACAATATTAAACAATTCTAAGAACATAATTACAAAAGAGAAAGGATGGCACGGAGTAACATCACGGTGAAACTTCTGTAAATGTCAAAGGTCCCAACACTGACTTTAGTACCAGTCCTTGAGGTGCTGTAATCCAGACACATTGCATGTTAACATACCCATATTCCAGTCTTTGCCATAATTAACATCAGTTTTTTGGCATTATACACTTTTGATTTACCAGAATCGGTGTCCCTCTTTCCACAGCCTTGACATGCTGAATCACAGCACTGACAAAGAGAACTTTGGAATGGGTCGTCTAAAAACTCCCACCTTTTATGAAAGCAGCATTATATGATATTTTCCAGTAAACCATATCAACTTAGATTAAATAACTAAGTACAAATCATGTTTACGCTTACTCTCCTGTGGCTTTATTATAATTGCAGTCCTTCTTTGTTTCATTGAGGTTGTCAGGGTCCCATGCAATTAATTTGCAATGGATGAAGACCTGCGGAAAAAATAACAGGCAGCAACAAATTCAGATGTTTAACAACTTGCCGTTTCCCTCTGAAGGCGCTCCCTCACCTTTTGTCCCAAAGCGAATCTGAAAGCTTGAAGGTGAAGAATAATCGAGGAGGAGTGATACCTTGGCAAAAACTTGGAAAAGCTCTTCTTACCATCCACGAGACACCTATGATGGATTCACATTAAGTCAATTATAGACACATGGCCACTAAATTGAATGAAATAATGTGCTGACTAATGGATATTTCAAATAATCATAAATGTACACCCTTTGTTGGTGATGAGTGGGTATGTAAGAGTATCTGGGTAGATTTCGAATGTTGTGGAGGCTACACATTCCTCCAGAAGCAGCAGCAGAGGCTGATGGGCTTGCTGGTTAACACCAGCCCAAATAGGAACAAAAGATCCCAGTGGAAAGACATTGGATTCTGCAGGGCCACTGAAATTATCTGGAGGGATTATGATATGCAAGTTATTGTTATAATAAGACCAAGAGAAACAGTAGATTTTCCTGCTTACAATTGAGAATTGCCATGTGAAAGACCAGTTCTCCATGACCTTGAATAAAACCAGCAGAAGAGCTCTAGAAAGCAAGAGTCCAACCCTTCGGCCTGATAACATAATTGAAATTATTGTACATCATTATTGGGAATGATTTGGGGTTGAGAGTCCTGGTAAAGACTTGAGTACCTAGTTGTGTTTACCTGTCATACACACATCTAACCGGATAGCTGAAAGAAGGAGGGTGGGGCTTTGGCAATGGCCTGTAGTTTAGCTTGTTCTCATACACCAAGTATTTCCATGTTGCCTAATTGGAAGGAAAAAAAAATCGTAAAAAAAAAATAGATGTTCCTGCTTACAATTGAGAATTGCCATGTGAAAGACCAGTTCTCCATGACCTTGAATAAAACCAGCAGAAGAGCTCTAGAAAGCAAGAGTCCAACCCTTCGGCCTGATAACATAATTGAAATTATTGTACATGATCTGGGGTTGAGAGTCCTGGTAAAGACTTGAGTACCTAGTTGTGTTTACCTGTCATACACACATCTAACCGGATAGCTGAAAGAAGGAGGGTGGGGCTTTGGCAATGGCCTGTAGTTTAGCTTGTTCTCATACACCAAGTATTTCCATGTTGCCTAATTGGAAGGAAAAAAAAATCGTAAAAAAAAAAAAAAATCACCATAATTTCAGGATTCAGCGATTAGTGAAATCAAACTTACCATTCGTCTGAAGCCACAATCATCAAGTCCATAGTAAAAGTCTGCAACTGCTCCTTCATTTGACAGATTTGAGAAGTGTGAAGCCAAGCAGCTACCCAGGAAAAGACGAGCAGGATTTCCAGTCATCGATTTGTCCACTTTCCACTTAACATGAAAGGAAAGCTCCCCACATGTAATTTGGACATCTATAGAAAAAAGGAGAGAGGGAGTACTCATGTGTGCCTGAAAGTTGAAGAAAATGGAATAACTCCTCAAAAAGCCAATCCAAACCCAACTATCTCTGTTTAGAAGCTGGTTTCAAAGCAGATAATTAGCAACAAACTAACTATATACTTGCCAACTGAGGTTGGTTAACCAGCTGACTTCAGGAGGAAAAAGACACAACTTACCCCTGTCTGTATAACTGGCTAATAGATATATATATACATATCTATGGTTTAAGACGGTTCATTTGCATTAGGTTTTAACAGCTAGTGTTAAATATATGATCTAGTTTCTGTTTAATGTGTATGAGATAAAATAGAGCCATCAATATGTTGATTAAAGTTAAGGTAAGTGATTTTTGTCGCTGCCGCTATGAGTTTATATAATCTGTTTTAACCTGGTTTATTTTGTCCAGTATTAACATGTTCAAACTGTTGGTGTTTGATTTGGGTAGATTTTTAATAGAAGATTAATCGACTTGTCAAAGTGAAGAACAATTCAAGTTTATTTATAATGTCTTGTATTAGTAGTTGAGTGATTGAGATGTATCATAAACAACTATTTTTGTGTCGTGGTTCAGACACTCACGGGCAAAGAAATAGAAATTGACATCGAGCCTACAGACAAGGTATGCTTGTTGTGCTAAAATTGTGGATCGTATTTCTTTATCTTTGGAAGTATTTGGAAATTAATGTTCTTCTCTTTTTCCAACAAGGTGGAGAGAATCAAAGAAAGGGTGGAAGAAAAGGAGGGGATCCCTCCACAACAGCAAAGACTCATTTATAGCGGAAAACAAATGTAAAGATCCCCATTAAAACGTCAGTTTGAATTCAACTACATAGGGCAAAAACCAATCTCTCCTGTCTTTCTTTATTTCAGGAATGATGAGAAGACTGCTGCTGACTACAAGATCCAGGGAGGATCTGTCCTGCATTTAGTTCTTGCTCTCCGAGGAGGGCAAAACCTGCACTGGCCCTGCAGTCACCCAGTGTCTTTCCTCTAATCTATTCTATTAAGACTGGAAATAGCAGAAATCGGTGTTATCATGTACGTCAAAACAGCAGGATTGCCAAGAGGCTCTGGTGTTTAAAGCCAAAAGTGGACATTTGGCTTTGCATAAATCAGTCTAAATCATGTTAGCGTGATCACAGCTGCTTGGGATTGACAGTTTACAACTGAAATGTTAGTTCATGTTGAAGTTTGTTTTTGCCCTTTCATTCTGCAGTATATGACGGTATAAAATTGTGCACTTAAAAACACATTTACTTAAGTTTTAAAATGTAACTGCTCCCTTATAAGGGCTCATTAAGAAAAGTAGTTTGCATTATCTTTAAAAAAAAAAAAAATTTCAACTCATTCTCCTCATCCAGATCTTGACAGTGTTATTTTAGTATTGTACTTTTTAAATGATTTTTTTAAATATATATTAATAGTTACTTTGCTGTATGTCTGTCATTTGTGTGTGTGCTTTTTTAACATGTCTACAGTTTTTATTCATAGCATATTCATCAAGTTCAACAAAAGAAATTAAGAAATGTTGCTACGGCAACTGGTTCAAATAAATAAGTTAAATTTTTTTTTTAATATTTTATTTCAGTTAAAGTTATGTATGTCGAGGGACAAACGTGTTTTTAG